ATTACTACTTTAAATTTGCTTTTTTAAATTTTCATTATAATTTTAAGTGTTAATAAGTTTGTTGTGATTTTGTTAGTTTTGAAGTATTTCTATTTAGCTTTATTTTTATTTCAGTTTTAATAATTTCCTTTTCATTATTTCAATTAACAAAAACTGTTGAATACTTTTAGATTTAGTTAATAACATAGCACTGATATTGACTTCAATATTTTGGTTAATTTGATTCTGCTTTCAGCACATATAATTGTAGTAGTACTATTAGTTGACTAGCTAGATGAAGCACAGAGACAGATCCCCTCCGAAGACCTTGTCACCTAAACGGCCATCGGGACAAGACCACGGGAGCCAGATGAGTCCTCTGCACAATCTGACTTTGTTGCAGCAGCCTAGAATTAAACTGCTGGTTTCATCTGGCCAGAGTAGAACAGCACACAATTTTCCTGTTTAATACTATTTGTGAAGGGATGAAACATGTTATGTTGTGACTAGGGATGTCAATGATTAATCGATGATCGATTAATTGTCGATAAGAGATGCAATCGATTAAAGCTATCGATGGTCGATTAAGCAGTTTAATTTTGGGCTGCGTGCGGCTCATGCGCAAAACACGTGCGAGCGGCTGTGAGTGACGGTGACGGTATATAAATGCATCATCATTCACTCATAATTACAAATGAAGCTTTTAATGTGATTTAAACTTTAAAAGTACATTAAAATAGAAACAACACAAAGTTCTTCCACATGGAATGCAATAGAAATGTAGTAACAGTCATTTCCCCAGATAGTTGTTTCATATTTGAAACAATTAGGTGAAGGTTGCAGGGCTGCGGGACACTGCGGGGGAAGGATTCATTCCATCAACTTGTTAATTCGTTCCTACGACTTATTAATTTATGGCCACTGTCCATGTTTCATTAATTTTGTTCCTTAAATAACCCATGATTTAACTAAAATGAGGGAACAAATTAATACATCGAACGAATTCTTAATTCATGGCCTAAATAATAGTTTAATATTCAAATACATTGCGAATATGGAAACATTTGGATTTGTGCCGAATGAGACGTGAGCAATAAGCTCCAAATGCATCTAGCCAAACCCGCGCTCGCTCCGTCTCGTCTGCACGCACGCATGCACTGTCACGATCTAAGGCACTGTAAATGCCGGATTTTAAAAACAAATAGGACTACCGCAACACAAAAATTTAAAATCTGTCATTTTCCGGAACAGGATCCAGCAGGATCAAATTAAGTACTGGTCATAATACTCACATGATAATGTTTGATGTGAGCAACAGTGTGTTCTGCTGCAGCAGCGCCGATGGAAGCGGTTCACTGACTGCAGCACAGCCACACGCGCCACAGTTACGTTTGGGATCGTTTTATTTTAAATACCATAATGTCAGTTGAAAACATTGCAATTGTGTTTTAAAATACAATAACGAGCACCACGAAACCATTTAAAGAGGCGCGTTCAGCGTTCTCCGTGACGGGATAGGAAACAGTCAACAAAGTAAAATGATCTCAAACGTACTCTCTTCATTTTATCAAATGATCATAATCACATCTATTCATTTTACGATCCTGCTACTAGCATATTATTCAGACTAAATAAAATGCTAGTGGGGGTTTTTTATTTAGTAACTTTTGCACATCCTGTCACGCCAGGCCGCATACGCATTTTGCAGCATATTAAGGTTAACGATTAATTGATCGTTAATTTAAACGACGATCGATCATGGAAGTGATCGAAAATTGACATCCCTAGTTGTGATGTTATTGGTAAATATTTTACCTCCCTGCCTCCACAGTCTAGGTTACGTCAGCAGAAAATGTTTCTGAGGCTGGGAAAGTTATTACATTTTTAATGAGAGGTTATGAAAACAAACATTTTCTGTAGAATACAGTGAACTTACACAATAAGACCAGGATCATTTATTAATAAACAAAGTAATGGTCAGAGCCATGATGACACACAAGAGCTGTTTTTGTTCAGTGGTTGTGGCTTTCTTCAGTCTCTTAGTAGGAGAAGATGAAGCGTAGTGTTTGAGGGAAGTGGAGGTGAATGGGTCTCAGTATCAGTGCAGCAGCTGACTGTCATGGATGGCTAACTGCCACGGGCCTCTAGTTTGTTATTCTCTGCCATATCTTGTGACAAAGCTTTCTCATCCACAGCAGGTTTTGCTGCTGATATTTATTGCAGAAAAAAGACCTCTATAGCAGCACTTTAATACTGCATTGCTTTCAGGTCAGGGAGAGCAAATGTTTTCACCAGAAAAAAATTCTGACAGTTAAAAACATTTTTAACTGGGTAATTTACAGTCTCCTTGATGAAAATGTAATTACATTTAGAATGTGTTGCCAATGCAACAGTGCTTTGTGATTAGGGCATGGCACCGTGCCAAGGCCATGAGTTCACATACTGAGTGAAAGTGCCAAAAGCAGAAATGTATGTTACAAAGCCATAAATTGTTAATTTTAGGAACAGATGTGACTGTTTAAACCTTGAGATTGTGAAGATACAAGACAGGATCTGTAGATATGCTTTCTTGTACAGTAAATGTTGCTCTTTATAATAAACATACAATGAAGCAAGCTGCAAATATGGAAGGCCAAAACTGCAAAAATGATAGTGAACAAATCATATTCAGTTGAACTGCACATTACAAGATTAATTAGTCACGCCAGGGGTAAATGGACCACCCCTCATTATAATAGTGTTAACTTTCCTGTATTTATATATTACTTTATTTTTAGCAGTTTTGGTCTTGCATACACTGAAATATATTGTGCACAGAATTTACTTTCATTCGGAAATTGCTGGTAAATTTCACAAATAATTACAAAGACAACAGCCAGTAACACATTGAATGGAAAATGAAATGAAATAGTGTACTTTACCAGAAATACATTAGTGCTGTCAAACGATTAATCGCGATTAATCGCATACAAAATAAATGTTTTTGTTGACATAATAAATGTATGTGTACTGTGTTTATTTATTATGTGTATATATAAATACACACACATACAGTATATATATTGAAAATATTTATATGTGTATATACATTTACATTTTTATATTATATATAAATATATTTAATATATAAACAACATATTTTTCTTAAATATATACATGTAGGTGTATTTATACTGTATATAAATATTAATAAATATACACGGTGCACACTACTGATATTATGTCAACAAAAACGGTTATTTTGGATGCGATTAATCGCGATTAATCATTTGACAGCAATAAAATACATACATAAAATAAAATGAAAAACAATGTGTGCGAAAGAACCAAGTTATTATTTACTGATAACCTTCTCCTCAAGTGAACTCATTCAAGATCCTCCAAAATTACTTTGTTTTCCACAGTAGAAATAGTCGTTAGTTAGTCATTGGTCTTTAAGAAACTGAATCGGGTCAGTTGTGAATTCATGTTTACTTTAGTGAGCGGTTTCCTCAGTGTTAGGCATATAGAGAGCCCAGTGTTGTTTGACCATTTTTCTTTTACACACCCTGTTAAGCAAGGTAAAGTACACATTGCTTGAATCCCATTGTGCTTTCATTCATTGTAACATTTGATAACATTTAAAACTATTTTTTATTCTGTACTATGGTGCAGTGTCCTTTATCTAATCTTATCTTGCTGCTTATTACCCCGAACACGTACCAGATATCATTCAAACTACAGTCAGCTTTACCTTCTGTAATATATAACCAAAATGTCCCTTTTTCAGTGCCCTGACACTCCATACAGTCATTGACTGTAATGACTATAATGTCACAGTGTGTGTCTGCAGTGCAGGAGTTCATTATTCTGCTGTGGTAACTGTGAGGGAGGAGGTCTGTCGGATGCGGTGGTAATGAGCAGCCTCTGTGTTAATTAGGCAAAGGAAGAACAATTGCTTTGAGTTGTGACTGAATGAGGTGATTTCCGAGAAGGCCGTGTGTGAATGTGGTGACTGATATTAATATTAATGTAACATGTGATGTGTGTCTCATGGTAGACAAAAAACAGGAGTTCACTTGGAGTTTGAAGTTTGTGAATTCATAAACCAGATGCTAATGGGATGTTTTTTTCATTATACCGTCCCGATGTGTTATTTTTCACTCTTGAGTTGGAATCTTCATTATGTTTCAGGATTATGAGCATGCAAATGTTTTAAATAGTGTTTCTGATATAAACCTCAGTACCAAATTATGTCATTAGAGATTCATTTCTGTTCATTGTGTTTCAATGAATCAATGTAAAACTGTGATTAACACAAATTAAATGGTAAATTATCTTTAAAAACATTTCTAGTGTGAAGTCCTTGTCCAATTTTGATGTCCGAGTCAATAATATATTTTGCAAAGTAAATTTGTACTATGTATTGGTGCATATAAATAGTTATATCAGTTAATTAGTGTTACAAATGAAATGTCATTCTTCATTGTTTTTGAGTGTAAACATTATGGAAAACTTTTTAAACTAGATTTTTGCTCTATTTTACTTTTTGCAGTTAATGTTTTCAATCTAATTGGCTGGATGGTCTGTTTGGTTGAAATATGGTTCACCTGACTAAAGATAATTTAAAAAAAAAAAGGTTTTAAATTCATTTGAGAGCAGTTACATAGTATTAGCTATTGATAAAAGTCTTAAAATATAATTTTTTTGGAGATCTCATCCAGTACTAGTACATTGAATATTTGTAACAGCCACTCTACTAATTTGCATTTTGCATTAATATTTCAGCAGTCTGTTGTCAGGTATTCCTTGCATGTTGTATTTATTTTTTTCCTCTATAACCCCCTAGGGTATAAATACATTTTACTGTATTATTTACATGCATGTCAGGATTTTCTTACCAGATGATCTGGATTAGATTCACTTCTTGTCCTGGAAGGTTCTGCTGCTGATATTTATTTTAAACCTCTTTCACTTCATAGATCGTGTTGCGACACTGTGACAAATCACATTTCGGTAACCCAAGCAAATGTGTTTTTCAGAGCGCTCAGGGCCTGAGGACCTGTGAATGAGGAGGGCACCACTGAAACCAACTCCAGTTTCAGGTATGAAAACACACTATCTAAATGATTTGTTGTGTTTGTGCATCCTTGTCTTACAGTCGGCCTCCAGAAATAGCTCTAATTGGAAAATGACATGTCTCTAGAGAGCTCTCTTGTGATACACAATTGTGTCTCATGATGTTCTCACACTCACAGTCATCTTCAGGTGCAGGCATGATCAAAGAGACTTGGCTGTTCTAGAAAGGAAGTGTTTTTTTCATAGCAAAGTTGATGCTTTCCCTTTTTCCCATGACCTCTTTCCCATGTCTTTCACATCTTGCTGTCTGTTACTGTAAAAGTTTAAAGTCATAGTCAGAATTGACCATTTACTTTTTTTAATAAACATTCCTGGTCTTATTACACTTCTTTAAATACATATTCCTGGTCTTAGTGCACAGCTTATTAAATGAAATATTTGGTTTAGATTTTTCAGTAGTGGTGTGGAGATGTCAAATATTTTTTTGTAAAATGAATACTATACTGCAGTTCATGTTTAATCATTGTCTATTTTAACATACCTGTGCTAGTTTTAGATCGTTGCAGTGGTAGTCTTCTTGCAACAGAATTAAAAGCAACCAGACAAGGTACAACAAGACCAGGGTAGAGACCAAGTCCCAACACAACTCAGAAAGCACATGGTGACACATTTTACTAAAAAAGCTAGATTTAACGAGGCTGTTTTTCTAGACTTGTATCATCAGATATGCAGGTCATAAGGGAATTGAGAATGATCTCTGTCTGAAGCAGTGAGAGGAAGTGTGTGGGGTGCCCAATAAAATGCAATTTATACGCGACTTATGTTTTTTTCCCCCTAAAAAATATTATTTTAACCATGCTGCAAACCTTTTTAAATATTTTGATAAATTGCTGAAAAAATAAATAATTAAATGACTTTTTAAACCGTTTAACTGATTGTATTAATCGGTCAAAATTCTTACGGTCGGTTAAACGGTTAAAATGAACATCCCTAGTTGAAACTACATACAAAAGCAACTCACAGTCTGAAATGCATTATAAAACTGTAGTTTAATATTGTAGTTTGTAGTTTTTACAAAGCCAGAATGGATTAAGCCAGTAAGGATTATTCTGGTGGTTTTTAATTTAGCAACATGTGTAATAAATATGCAACCAATTCAATATGTAAACTTGTTTGGTTCATAAAAATCTCCTGTTTGTAACAGTCTTACAACTTGCATACATGACTATGTTAAACTCTTTAGGAAGCATAGTGCGCAAAAAGTAAAAACAAATGCATTCAAAGTATTTTGTGATTTAAAATGGAGGCTAATTTAATTTGAACTCATTGCCAAACAGATATTATTGTTATTCATTATACTGCCCAGTTCAGATTGGTCATTGTGTTTTCTGACTTGTTATAACGTTTTCGGAACTGTTGTTGTGTTTTCTGTATTGTTATTTAGTTTTTTAGATTTGCATTTGAGTTTGTAATTTATTTTGTTTTCAGAATTGTGATTTGTTTTGCACTTCTCGGCCACTGTACAATTCTCATATCAGAATTGATATCGCTGTCGGAGTACATCTAACTTGGAGACCTGATTTATCTGTGGAGCACAGTAAGGTTTAATTAAAGCAGTTTAATTAAGTGTACAATCTGCATGTACAATGTGAGATTCCTCTGAAATGAAGCTATGCAGCATCTGTGTGGGCATGTGATGGTGTGAAGGTCAGTATGTACTGTAATTTCATCCCTTCTGTTCTCATAGAGCTGTAACCCTCACCCACAGTCATTAGTTCTGTCATGACAAATATAAGGCTTAGCTGGAATGCTTTTTAGGACATGCGGTGTTTAAAAGTGTCAGGAATTCAGCATTAATTAGGTTCTGAAAGAGCAGGAGTCACTCTTAGACAACAGCAGACACCTTCTAAAGTGAAATGGTACGAGAGATTCAACATAGATTTGAAGCATGTTAGAACAGACTCCTGTTGGTTAAACCGAGTCACACCGTCAGTTGTAGTTTGGTCTGTGTTTTTCATTGATCCGCGGTTGTGTGCTTGTGTAAGCATCACAGGTGATGGTTGTAGTCTAGTTCATGTCAGTTTTTGACAGTAGGTGTTGGCCTGTCATCAACAGCTGTCTCATGACAATGATGAAGGGGAAGGTTGGTTTAAATATCAAGAAGCAATTCTTGCTGAATCTTCTGAGGTGTGGTAAGTTATTCGCATCTCAGAAATGTCACACTCATATCTTTTAGGCTCCTTTGCTTTTCAACCCTTGCGTGACTAGCAATGAAAGCTTTAGGCCTTTTGCCCTAGACGTTGTAAAATATAGAAGGTACAAGGAAACCTTCTTCTGTTTTAAAAAGGACAAGCTGACGGAATCTCCCAAAACACAGTTACATTCTTCTGTCTTAGAACAGTCTTTTTCTCGCTGAATTGTTGATATTCTGTGAAGTTTGTTAGGTCATTTTCACTTGCAGAATATTTGTAGGCAGGTAGGTAGTTAGTAGGGGTGTAATGGTACGCATATGTGTACCGAACAAATACAGGGTTTTTTTAACCACTGCATGTTTATGTACCTTCATTTAACAAATCAATATTTAAATTAATGGTCGACCGATATGGGTTTTTTGATAGCCGATGCCGATATCTTGGAAAGCAGGGTGTCCGATGGCCGATATAAATCCGATATTTTATTTATATTTAAGACATTTTTAATAATTTAAAAATGGATTAAAAATAATTGTATAAAATAAACATACTTATGCTTTAGAAGACAGCATTTTTCACAAATAAATAAATATTTAATAAACACTGTAACCAACAGGGCACTCAATATTCTGGGAAGTTTGTGTGTATTCGAAAACTTTTTTTTTTTTTTTTCCTTCAAATAAAGCCAAGGTAACCCTCATTTTAAATCAAGCATGAAATGAAAAT